CTCTTGCTATTTGTTGCTATGCCTCAGCATTTGCTGCCTAAATTTACATTTCATTTCATTTAATTTAATTTAATTCATTCATTTATTTCGCTTTTCGAACTTATAAGTATATGCATGTATGTATGTACATCTAATGCTAGACTTGTGTGTTACATTTAGTTTATGTATATTTTTTATTTTATATTTAAAAAATAGTTAACTTTATACTTTGTTTCGACTTCAATTTTTTGCTTACGCTCGCGTATTTCATCAACTAAGTACTATATGTACTTGTATGTCTCTCATCGCTTCTGCATCTCATTGTTTTTGCTCCTTTTCATTTGTTTTTTGTTTTTTGTTATAATTAGATTTTGTTCTTCGACCATTGTTATTGTGGTTGTAAGTATGCTGTATCGTTTCGTATCGTATCGATTTGTTGGCTTGAGTTTGCGTTTGCATTTGGGTTCGATTTGTTTGTTTTGGTTTGTTTTGGTTTGGTTTTGTTCTGTATCGTGTTTGGATGCCAACACATCTAAGTTGTGCAGCAAAATGTCAAAGCAACTTTACAATTTCAAATCCCAAAAAGTTGACGATAGTTTGCGTTTGTTTGTTTGTTTGTTTTTGTTCACCAACGGACTTTCGACGCAAATTCTCGCACTGACTTGTCTAGTCTGCTGGGTGAATATTTTACTTGAAGACAGGTAGAGCGTAGAGCTTGGCCCAAATTTCAAGAACTATTGAGCAGTTTGGCAATTGGAACTGAAACTAATCATATAACTACAAACGAGCAATATAATGGCGGATGCAAACAAGAAGGGGAACAAGACAGCCACAAAGACACTTTAAAAACTAATTTAAATGCTAAATCGGACGTTTCGAACAGCCACGTATTAGAAGCGCATTATCATACTGGGATTGCTAAGGGAGAGGTCTACAGCATCTCGCATACATAGCGTTAAAAATCGGTGCATAGCGGTGGATCAGATCAGAGCAATCATTTCACTCTGATGGTAAAATTTCCAAACAAAATGCACATAAACATGAACGCGGCCATCCAATTAGTTTTAGCCTGGATGAGTAACATCAAAGTTTCCCAATTCCACACTATCCGTGTGTACATATGTATGTTTGTCTGCATGTATGTGCATTTTATTACAACGTGCCACAAATGAAATCAGCTGTTATACAAGTAGTGACAGCACTGCTGCCTAGTCTAGTATCTAGTCTTGTGTCTGCTGTTTGGAGCGAGGGTCGCTTCTAGATATTCCTTATTTTTGAATTATTTGAATTATAACGCAAATGCGTTGTTCACCTCTGCACTGTTTGTCCTTGCGCTTTCCCTTAAGATCCATGTAGAAATGCAGATATTTGCAAATATATGTACATATATGCGCATAACTGGGGGAGATAGTGATCGGGAGTAAGTGCCTTGATATCGGCAAACAACTGGAAATATCACCTTGTCGATAGTATTGCTTTGAAAATATCAAATTGTCGTTGAAAAATTGCAAAATATTCATAAAATTGATAAAGCTAGAATCTCAAGGTCAAAATCAAACTTATACTCGAGTAGTATAATGCCTAATGTGCTGTATGGGTTGCAAACTTCTTTTTTTGGCTCAAGGGGCTAATAATAATAATAGCTGGTTCTTAAAATAAAATATCAGCTGAGGAATGATGGCACTATTATAAACATCTATGTGTGCAGAGAAAGAATCAAGCTCGGTTCAAAATATATAATAATAGATGTGCAGAGAATGAATCAAGTTCGGTTGAAAATATACTGTGTAGCTCAATTTAGGTATAATATGTAGGTATAAATAAAAAAGTGTGTTGCAAAACCTTTATAATAAATGCCCTTTGCTTATATACATTTCTGTTATACGATGTTTGCCGAGCAATATTTTACGCCCATGCTACAAATGCTTCGTCAGTAGCTCACTACTAACGCCCATTAGACCAATGCAACTTGTTGCGAAACATTTGTGATAAGCAATACAGCATGCTGCAACGGACGTGTTCGCAGCACAACATTGTTGCCGAACATTGTAATTATGTATGTCAACATTCCATTAGCTATTCAAAATGTGTTTTTAATTTTTCCGGCAATGTCTCATGTAATGAATAACGAGTAAAATGCTAGAGTCGCGTGCTCGCGATTCCTATATACCCTGTACCCGGTTCAGTAATTGAGTTTAATAATTTTTTTCTAAATGATTTAAGTCGCTGTGTTTTTATATTTTAATTTAAAATTAATTAGAACCACTACATTATATAATTCGTCATGTATGTTTACATTCGCCTGAGTGTATGGACAAAGATTGTATTTTCGGCAATAACTTCCTTATCGTGCAATTTGGCACACGAGCAAAAAAACTTATTTTATATTTCAGATTAAAGTTAGAAAGATTTAATGAGGTTGGTCTTGATGCCAAATTAGGAGATTACAGCTCCCATACTTTTCGATGAATGTATTGTTTTGTATAATTCACCTCCACTATGTGTGTAACTCTATCTGCATTCCTTGGAAGACCTTGTGTTTATACAGACAGACGGATACAAATGGAGAGACGGCTACTTATAGTGTTCATGCATACATATAGCTTACACATACATATCGAGGGGTGTTCCAGGCTAAAGCTGAACGATTTAATAATACCCTTTTAGTAAATAACCAATATGTATTTGTAAGTTTGTCCTGGCGCACAGCCGAAACGGTAAGAGCTTAATATCTAACTCAACATCTCTGCATCATTTTTTGTGACTGAATAGTTGCTTATAATATAGCTAAAAGCTTGCATTATTGTCATTCATGCACATATCGACAGAGCAGAAAATACAACATTCACTAAAATAATGCAGAATAGTTTCTCGCTTTGGCGCATTTTTAGTGAAAAAGAACACAAACAGCGAAATCCAAATACAAACTTTTCTGCAACAAATGGAAATAAACTAAAAATAAATCGGCAAAGTGCTAATTGACTTTCTCTTCTGGATATACATGTATGTCAATCGGAACAATTGTGAGAATTCAGTATATATTTAAATGTCGGACATTTATACATAAGTAGTATGTGGGGCGGTCAGATGCTGAGTTGATCAAAAATCATTGTCAATTAGTTTGATGTAACTTTTCAAGGAGTAACAAAGTAAAGTTTATACCATTTGAGTCACTTCTTGTCCAGACACAAACACAATCACACATTCAAACATATGTATCTAAATAGTATGCAATATATAGTTTATTTATAAAGCTGTACGAAAAAAATTGTATTTGATTTAAAAAATATAAAATGAGATATTATACTTGTATAATATTGGTAAGTAGATAGATAGTATATGAAGTTAACATATAAAGTGAAATTAACGAAGATAAACTTAGTTTAATCAATAAATAAATATTTCATCGGAATGTGTAGTGCTTGGATATTTATAAATTTAAAGTTTAATAACAATTTTATAATAAAGTACATTAAATTACAATTCAATCAAATTATTTTACTTTCATAAACGTATTGATAAAAATTTATGCTGCGAGCATAGATCGTGCAAGACTTATCTTCTCATTCGCATCAGTTTGCATCCAATATCGTTAACCGAAATTTTTAATTTTAATTTAAATTGTTAACCGAAAATCTTCTCATCTACTACTATTTTATATAGTTCTCTGATCTGGTCGCTAGCCATGGGTTATCTGTTTCCTACGAACTCCGATTTTGAACTGTTCACTTGGAATCTGAACTACAAGTAAGTTAGAAAACATGATGAGACGATGGCAAACATCACAGCTAAGACAGATAGGTATATTATCCTTTTATCCTTGGCTCTTTTTGTTTTGTCATATCTCTGCAGCAAATCCAGCTGACCTTCCAACAAAGCTATAATCTATCATTTTTTCCGCAGCACGATGTTTGAAAGACTTCTGAGCTATCGGACAAATATGTATAGTAAGTAAACCTTTGCGATGCAGGACACGCGCGTTCGCCTTGATATACTCGTATATATTATCAGTTTCGATTCCACATAATTAGTTCCAGACCAATGCCAAGAGCTGCGGCACTTTTTAAATATGAAGCCATAGTATTAGATAAGATTTTGATCTGTTTTGTCAATTGGCGTGTGAAGATGTTGCTAGGATTGTTAAGTTGCATTTGCCGTTTGTTAGTACTTTCGTTAATATGTTTGTATGTACGAGTATGTATGTTTGTATGTACGAGTATGTATGTATGTATGTTCTTGTTTGTTAGTAAGTTCTTTCTGTCTGTCACAATTTGCCGTTGCATGTGTTTGTTTTGTTTTTTGTTTTGCTTGGCATAGTGGTTGTAGATAATTGGTTTCTGTTTGTTGTTTACTTGTATTATTATCGAGTGTCTATGTTGTAGGTTGAAGGTGTTCGAGTGTGTGTGGGTGTGTGTGTGTGTGTGTGTGGGTGTGTGTATGTTAGTTAACCTCTCGATTTCTGATTTTCATAATTATCCCTTAATCGCCTCTCATTTTGTCCTCGTTTGCTTGTTCACTTTGCATTTATTGTGACTGGTTTACGTTTTGTTCATAATTTTTTCTATCACAGCAACATATTTGTATACACTATTTTATGCACTTAAGAAAGAATAAATCAATAAGTTAGAATCAGAACCAAATACCAAATGAGGAGAGTAATTTATACACATTATTGAACGATTCTATATGGCGAACTCAACTCGTGTACCCGTACTCGTACACCCTTTATACAATGCTATTATTGTTTAGAAATTCCTCTTAGTAATTTCAATATAAAATGCATACAATACATATTCGTTGACTAGGCACGTTTTTGTAAATTATACCATACACTTATGTATGTACATGTACAAGTACATATGTATGTATGTACAAGTATGTATTTGCATCTGAGTCTGCATTTTGTTTTGCTGTTATTTCAAAATAAAGGCTGTAGAAGAGCAACAACAAAATCCGCGTGAGTGTTTAATTGAGAAGCATTTTGCAGGTTGTTCCTTATATCATTTGTTAATATTCAAACGCTTTACAAAAGTAAAAACAAGATTTGTACGCTCTGTGTAAACACAAGTGATGACCAACCCAGAAGAAGGCGATCTCTGTAGATTTATGGAAACTGCAAGGAGAGTAAGAAAAGCATGTATTAGCGCTAAGTCTCTTTAAGTCGGAACTTAACATTTATTTTAGTATACAAATGTATCTACATATTAATAAATACTAAATACTTAAAATAAAAATTCATTTTTTCTTATAGATATGATCATTTCGAGTATCTTTCGCCCAGGTTGATTATCTTCTGTACTATTTAAAATGTATATCCGGCACATCCAAAAACCTACCCCAAGTCGTTAAATGTTACTTACAAGTAGTTCATACTTTAAAAGGCGTACTATAACTCAAAAGAAATGCAAGTGCCACAGGAGATTTAAAGTAGTTTTCAATAAGTTTGAAATACATATACATATAATTACGATATACTGGTTTTTCTAGTTAGTTGTTATGCTTATGTGGGACTGGGGTTATATTTAGTTATTTCCAAACGAAATGATAACAGTCCCGGATAGTTTTTTTGAATATAATATAGTTTATTTAAAATAGAAATGAAATTATAAAGTCATTGGTGAAATAATATAAACTTGCAATTTGCGTCTGTCGCGTTTTTTCGTAGCTCTTCTTGTTCCTTTCGTCAAAGGCTTGCCACCCTGCCTTTACCATCGTGTGCTTGTGGGAGGGTTGCCCATACGTCATTACCCGGGAATTCCCACACTTATGAATAGAGAACCTATTGATAATGGCAAACAATTATTGCTAGTGAAATCTTTGTGTCCCCTATTGTAGTGCGGAGAGTTTTGATACACACATTATTGTAGTGAACTTATTTTTGAAGATTTTCTAATTGTTGTATACAGCAGTATTTAAAATCTCGATATTCAACTACATGAGCACGTATGAACATGTTGATTCAATAGCTGAAGATGTCTAAAATGGAAACTATCATCAATAGATGGATGGGTAGAATATAAGTTGCGCAAGCCCGATTTGAAATATGTATTTGCATTAAAGTACAAAAAAACACGAACTTGTCCTTTCTCGGACGTACGAGAACATCGATAGATAGTGTGGATATTTTAGCTATACTATAATATCCGCCGCGATCTCTACGTTCATACGGACGGACGAACATATATAGATAGATTTCTTTCGTCGTGTTTATTACAAATACGTAAGCTTCCTTTCCCCTTTGCACAAACCCTATTTAACCTTTTTACCTATCGGGTTAGGATAACCAAATTATTTTTGAAGAGATGGGCTCATCTAATACCTATAAAGAGGGGGGTGGCAGACCATGTGATAATGTACTATATGTCACCAACAGGTCGATATGAGTTTATTGTATTTTGTTTTTGATTTTTTCCCCTTTTCCGCGCCACAGAATTTCAATATTGGCCAGAAGTCTGGTAATATTCAGAAAAGCGTTCAATTAAGCATTAATAAGTTAAGATCGGACAACAAAAGTTAGTATTAAATAACTTCATGGGCAACAATAATTTTAAAAATTATTGGAGAATAATGCAACAATGAAGGTGGCATATACTAGCCTTCTTATGGCTTTCGTGTTATGGAGAAGTCAATGAGATCGGAAACTTTTTGGGATCTGCTGTCCAATATTTAGGCCTTCTCGGAGAAACATAATTAAGTTTTTATAGTTAACGTATAAAAACGCGGTTAAGTTGGCGAAGCTATCAGACTATTAAGAAAATGCACTAAGTATTATAAGCTTTCATGAAATGTAAAGCCAAGCACATAAACAAAGCAACAGGGTTTTGACAGGACTTTTTTGGCAAGTATCAAAGGGATGTCCCCATGCACACGCAATCCTTTTATTTAAGCAAATGGAAAAAATATAATTTTCGTTTTGGCAACATTCTGGCACAACTTTTAATAATTTTTTGTTGTTGCTATTCTTACATACTAAGAACATCTGAACTCTAAACAGAGTTGCTATTAAGAAATATCACTAATAGATACATAAATATCGATAAGTGTTACAATACTGAGCATTTTTCTTCCTATAGCTCATATAAATGACAGTGGACTTACGATAAAATGTGGTGCCGAGAATAAAACCGCCAAGGTAGCTATAATGGTAAATAGCGTGAAAATTATAAGGCACAAACGATCAACGACCATGGCGGCAAATTTCCAATCACGCGTAATATCTCCCGTTTCATCCTCCTTTTTGAGCTGCATAGAATAAAATAGACATGTTATAATTGTATGTTCATTCTTTTAATAATATATTTAATGCATTCGCTTTATTTGACTCCACTTTCGATCCTAATTTCGACAAATTTAGTTACCGATTCCACTTGTCCACCATGTTAACGTCCTTAACGTCTTAAATCTATCTATGGGCCGACTTCAGCCACTACAAGTATAGTGTATTTCATGTAGCTGTTTTGAGAACGAGAACTTCTTTGTTGGTTGAGATACCCGAATATTGCAAATGGTGGTTTAATAAACCCGCATATGTTAAAGCATATGATTGAACATCAACCAGATTGTATAACTTGTAGGATATTATATTGTTGTTATATATGCTCGAAAAAGATACAAAGTGCTATCCAAAGTAAACACTGCATTTGTGTCATCAGGTCATCGACAAATTAGGAAGTTCGCACCTAAATTCGTTGTAATCAGCCAAAATCTTCATTGAAATTAATAGAAAATTGATCAGTATTCAACATTCAAAGGACATCATAAGAAAATGAAGCCAAAAACGACCAAAACTTAATTTTTATCTGGCGATTCAACGTGTTTTTTTTTTTAAATATTATTCTGAAACCAAGCGCCGGACTTGAACGCTGCCAAAAGGCTCGTATCGACAAGGGTATATTATTATTTTTAAAAAGCCTGTTTACTTTGGAAGGCACCTCGTATCTTCACAATGATATAGGAACCGGTGAAGCAGGATCGTTTGGGACAGCTTTATGGCTGCTAAGCGATAAATCGGCATATTTGTAGAATAAGCTGCAATGGCTAATATTGTTTTAAGCTATCTTAGCTTATGTTGTGCATCGATTGTATCGATTTAATAAGCAATTAGTCTTAAGCAGTCATATATCAGTCATTTCTCACCGATAACTATATAAGTACTCTTTATTAATTGATTGTAGGGTTGGTGTTTAAGTTTAGTCAGACTGCTATATAATATAGTTTCTACAGAAAATGACGTCCTGCCTAGTTTCTCCAAATTAAATTTATCGAAAGTGTTCCAAATATTCTATTGCTGCTTCCATTTCAGCTTACCTGATCGGTTATCCAGCGCAACTCCTTCAATATCAACGCCAGTTCATATTCCGCCGATGAGCTGAGACATGTGTGAGATATCGCCTCGTGCATGCGGGCATCGGCAACAGCTGCGACAGGACCAACAGGACCAACATGTCCCACGCTGCCATCGTCACCTTGCCTGTGAATATATATGGAGGGTTATGGAGGGGTAAGTGTCATGTTATCATGAAAGAGCTCAAATCCAAGCCATACACTTTTTCAGTCATGGTGGACGACAATCCACACGTGTCCACAATACAATATTGAGAACACTTTTAGAATTTGGACTTGAATCATTTGAAATAAGTTGATCATAACGGGACTTATAAATTGTTTGATCCTGGGAAGGTCCTACAAGAGCCTTTCCAAATGTTATGTCAATTGTGATGTAATTCTGTTTGTGTGCTTCTTATATTATACAATAATGAAAGGTTCGTTCTGGGAGTTATAAGTAACAGTAACGTACCCCGGGAGCTAAATCAATAATTACTGTGACCGTATCGCTACTTTATGTCTCTTTGGAAAGGTCTCTAGACATTTTAATACGTGTAATGTTTCATATGCCTTTTCTATTGAGTTGGGAAACTATATCGACTTAAAAGAAGGTATTATAATATGTATTGTAAGCTAAATTAATAATTACTGTGACCGTACCGTTTCACATAAAGAGTCGATATACAAGTATGTACAATAGCTACTATATACGTATACACCCAATTCTGTTTTTAACCGGTCTTCTTTTACACGGTTTTGATTTAACGCGGTCTTTTTTTTAAACGGTTTTTTACACGACTTCTTCTGAAACTAATCTACCGTGTAAAAACAGACTAAGGTGTATCTAGTTGGAAAAGTCTCTAAACTTTTTAATGAGTGTAATGTCTCATAAAATACATAATTAATCGAAGATAGGTATTGTAGCTCTTATACTTTACGAGATCCTTGCGTTCATACAGACGGACGGACAGGCGGACAAGCTTTATTGACTCGCCTTGTTGTGCTGATCAAAATTAAATATACTTTGTGGGGTCTAGGCGCATTCTTTTGTGTGTTACATACATTCGCACAAAACTAGTATGCCCCTTTACGCCTTGGGGACAGGGTATAAAAATCAACAACAATACTTGTACAGCACAATGCGATGGAGCGAAGCTTATGCGGGTGTGCTAGTTTAGATGCTCATGTAGAATTAAGCAGACGTAATTCTTTCCACAACACATTGTCTTGTGAGTTGCAGTTTGACATTTCGCCACTATGTTTCTTACCACGTCTAGAGGTCTTTATATGTATAGGTATTAGTGTTCGCACATATAAACAAGTGAATGCATATTTTTGCTTGTTGCCGCCTCTCCTGCACTCTTGCAGCCTCTCCAGATCTAAATTGTTATTGACTTGAAGTCTTATTGACTTCACACTTCACAATAAAGCAAATCTTTTCTCCAATTTCCCACGCTCTGCTCCCGCATGGCTATTCACACACTAATACATACATAAATACATAAATACATGTGTATGTATGTATGGTATGGTATGTATTACTATTTTCGCTTCACAACCCGTTTGTGGCTGGGGGTCATTTAAGCCGAGCGTCGTCTTCATGCTGTGTATGCCGAGAAAGCTGCTTAAGTCAAAACAGTGGCTGTCTATATGTACTCGCACATACAAGTATTACGAGTATATATTTATACTTGTAGAAAACAATTTGCAAAATCAATTTTGTTTGCATGTGGCCTTGTGTGGGTTTGGCAAAGTGCTTGCTAAAATGACAGGAAACCCGTCGATGCGCAATGAAAATTGTTTTTCCCCGCAAAAGGAGATTGCAGTTGCAAGTTGCAGTCTGCAGTCTGCAAGAGAAGTGTACTAGTAAATGGGGTTATCTGGGCTGCAGGGGAGTTGGCCTCGACCTGGTCTATGCACAGTGGCCAGCGGCCCATCAACCAAAACCACATAAATAACTGTAACCGATTTTAATGCTTTTTACATCCTTTCTATTCCATTAAATAGCTTAAGCGCAGGGACTTGGAGCATGCGAAATTTCGCATGAGGCAGACCAAGTGTTGGGGAGCGTTTGAGTTTTTTAGCACACTGTACCGAAGTAAATACTACATATAGTACATACGTATTTGTTTGTTCAGTATAGTATGACCGATGGATATTGCCATATCTGTATCGTTTTTTCTCTCTACCTCCCGCACTTCCTGTAATTCGAAGTTGAACATAACTTTGTTGGCTGTAAAGAGTTGTGGCCCAAGAGCCACGATTTCGGCCCACTGTGCGACGGAGCAGGACGCTTGTCAATTTGCGAACTACTGCATGGTTTGCGGTTTAATTTCAATTGAAGCCACTGCAATGATTCCAGAAAACAGGTACAAAAAGGCTCTAAAGTTGAGCAAGACCGAAATGACGACAGCAATGCATTGCCATGTCTATCCCATTCTACTAAATTTACTGTTGAGGTAATGGCTCTTAACTTTGCTGGCTCTCGAGTCTGTGGCACACTGTGTAGGTCTTACAGACGGCTCTTAATATGCTTATCTCTCATCGGTTACTAATCGATTCTTTAAATGCTTCTTATAAGAGTGATTGGACGGGCAATTGGAGATTACAGGCACTGCCTAGGAAAATAGGAGTACAAGTAAGCAGGACGATTAAGTGTCGAAAGGCGATAAATATATGCATCGTGTGTGTGCAACATGAACATAGAAAGAAATATCCTTAAAGTGTCCAAAGTGAACCTTGAATAGGGCTCAGTTTGTTAAGCCAGGACGGGCTGGGAGATCAATCAGCCTGGCCAGCTGGTTCGGCCACTTTACTGCCGTACGAGTATTTCTCGTTGTGTAGTTGCTTGCGTGGCTTAGTGCCGTCGCTTCGGGTCGTCTGGCAAGTAAGTAAGGCGAAAAATCTATTTCAAAGTCTACTTTTGGACAGACACTGTCAGGAGCACGTCGCGCACGGCAATAAGGGAAATGGCGAAAGGTTAGTGGCAGGCGGTAGAAGTTAAGTGTCATTCAAGGAGAATGTCTGGCACACAATTTTGGGGCAGTTGTCTTGCCAACCCATTTGCTGCTGCGACGATTTCTTTGCTAATGTGTGCTATGCGTTTTTTTAAACGTCTATACATACTATATGGGCATATACTTGTATGTATAAACTTTTCCTTTTCTTTTTTTTTGCTGTGCTCTCTCGTGTCCTATTTGTCATCGCTTTTTTCAGTGGCGTATTTGGTTCTTCTTCCTTGTATTCTTCTCACACATCTTGTCATTGATTGTCATTGAAGGTGCTGCCTAGTTTCTGCTGTCTACTAATATTGTTATTGTTGTTGATGTTTTTGTTCTTGTTTTTGTTGCTGTTGTGGCTAAGCCAGTAGCCAGTGCTGTTGATGTTGATGCTGATGTGCCTGTTCCTGTTCCTGTTGCCGATGATGCTGCTTGAGCTGCAGGTGACAAAGTCATCAAGTTGCTTAAAGTTTTCCATTTATTTTCAATTTCGCCATTGCTTTTAATGGGCAATCATCTGTCTACTTGTGCCGCATCCGTGAACCTGCCACCTCCACCATCTCCATCCTGGACGCACGCAGCATTCCATAAGCCAATTCTGGGCGGGTGTTTGCCCAAAGTTTAGTCATGCATTGAAATCAAATTGCCGAACATTTCAATGGCCACGATGAATCGCCGACAATTTGAAGGACTTGTTGTGCTAATGTCTGTGTCTCTCTCTTTCTCTCTCTCTCTCTATCTCTATCTCTCTCTGTGTGTGTGTATACTCGTACAAAGAGGAAGAGTGCGTAGCAGAAAGGAAGATAAATAAGTAACATGTGCCCACGCATAAGATTAACATTATTAGGACAGTGGAACTTTTAGCGAGCCTGCGATTTATGTGAGAGCATTACAAAGTCCCATTCTATGCTTGCCCCTCAACTCCATAGCTCATCAGTTTAAATACATATGTACATACTTGTATATAGGAGCATGTACTACCAGGGCTCGAGCTCGTATTCAAATTTATTATTTTTCTTACAGCATCATAAATTTGTGAAAAGTGGTAAGATAGGGGCACTATACTTTCCAAAAAGTAGACTATTTGTCCCAGAAATTTCTCGATTGTGTAACGTCTTGGTAGCTTTAACTTTACGCACCTCTTAAGTATTAATCGTGCATACATTATTTTAATGGAGAAGCATCATTCAGTAGACGACCATGGCCGACCAACAATATCATCGTTAATTGTCAAAGGGTATAATTGATACTTAGTAATTTAATCAATAAACATTTAAAATTTTTAATAAACTTTAAGCAATGAATAATATATTCTTCTGCAATTCATTTTAATGTTATAATGAGCTTATTATAATTAATTACTTGACACCCTCATTATTCTATCGCAATCTAATAATGTAAAATAAGAAATAAAAATACAGTTTTATTTTTTTTCATAATAACAATAACAATTCAATAATAATAAAAGCTAAGCCAAATTGTAAAAATTCCTAATTGTAATTGTAATATTCAATTCAAAATAAACTAAATTAAGCTTGTTATTAAATTAAATTAACAATTAACCGAATTAAATTGAACTGAATATGTAATGACTAGCGTAATAACTTCAAAGTAATCTGGTACTTGTAACGCTAGGATAAGTTAATAAAATAAAATAAAACAAGATAGAACGCTACAGTCGAGCAAGCCCGACAGTAAAATAGCCTGTACTCTCCACAAAAAAAAAAAATTAAAAAAAAAAATTAAAAAAAAATTTTTTTTTTAAATAAATTTAAAAAAAAAATGAATGAATGAATTAATTAATTAAATTAAATTAGAAAACATGTTTATGTTCAGTTTTAACAGCATACATTTACATCACGTACCTATGCGTGTTTATATGTGTGTATGTATGCAGCACAAAGTTGAACAAAAGCAGCAACAACAACAACAGCTGCGGGCAGCGCTGCCGACAGAGCTGCAGGCAGCGCATGAGCAGCGATTTTACTTATGGCTATAACTTTCTTCAGAATTGACCTATCATGATGAAATTTGGCACACGGACACATTAGTACCAACTGGATGTACCTACCAAAATTTATTTCAAAATTCCGAGAATTACGGAAGTTATAAGAAAAAACATGAATTGCGGGGGAGTGGGGGGGTGCATCGAAAAAAAACTCAAACTCGTACTTTCTCGGTCTGAGGAGAATATGGAAACCAAGTTTGGTTATTCTAGCTCTTATACTTTCTGAGATCCTTGCGTTCATACGGACAGACAGACGGACAGACGGACGGACGGACAAGGCTATATCCACTCGGCTTCTCATCCTGATCAAGAATATATATACTTTGTGGGGTCTGCCACGCCTCCTTCTGTGTGTTACATACATGCGCACAAAACTAGTATAGCCTTTCACCCTTTGGGTACAGGCTATAATAAACAATTAAAATTAATGGGTCTTCCACAAACGACGATTGTAAAAGCTTCCTTTCGTGGTCAAAGGCGCACAAACTCCTCTCATTCTAAGTGCGGAGGCAAACATTTTCAAAAATAGTGTCGCAAAAACCATAAATACTATACACTGAAGAGTAAATGGCGTTCGGGAAATATACAATGAACAACTATTTTTGTTCAAAACCGATTTTGAAAATATATAATCATAGTTTTTTTTAAAATGTTGTTTAGAATAGCATTGAAGATGGCTGGGCGAAGGGATAGTCTGGTTTCCGAAATCCAAGCCTTTTTCTAGACAGGCGATCTGACGAACATGTCTACAAGTAGATCGACTAGTTTCTCGTTGCTGATCAAGAAGAGCAATGCTATGGATCATTGTTAGGAAACCTCATATTATATATTTCACAGTATATGTTTTCATTGGGTTCATCAAAATACTATATCTCTTGACAAAAATTTGGCCCAGCATCAGTTTTTCGAGGCATTTCATCGAGCGCGGACCAAGAAAAATAGTCCCAGACATATTTGTATATGCATTCACTTCCATGCATGACCGACTGGTTTGTAAGTCAGACAGAAATGCAATTCCTTGTTATCAAAAAATTCAAATTAAATTCAAAATAATTTGCTCCACTTTTTACAAATAATAACCCCGTGTCAATAAGTTTTCCACGAAGCAATGAATAATTTCCAGCTATTACAGTGAAGTCTACGACGCACAGTGGGGCCTTCTGACTCTTTTTGTTGCAAAAATCATAACTCCTGAACGGATAAAGTAATATTAGTCAAACAAACTTTGAAAGATAAATTCTTAAGCTTTAAAACAAATCATTGCGCATTGTGCTATGATTTCTAAGAGCTGCACAATAAGTTCTTTAAGTTGGATTTTGTTGCTGATGCATTATTTATTTATTTATTTATTTTATTTATTTATTTTATTTATTTATTTTTTACAACAGAGAAATGTAAACAAAAAGCTCTATCTTAAGCTCTATCAAATGTAAACAAATATATTTGACCTCTCTCACATGTAAACAAACCGTAATCTCGTTTGACCTTTCTTATCGCTCTGTTTCAGAACCTACAGTTATATACTACTATAGTTATTTGTGATGACTTTTTCCCGTCCCCGACTTTCAGCGAGTAATGGTGCAAGAGTCTGCGGAATCTCTTGACCTCTTTTCATTGTTATACCCTTTATCTAAATGTTCAAAGGGTTATTCGGTTTGTGCAATGTGTAAAATGTACCAGGCTGACCCCATAAAGTATATCTATAAGTACTATATATTCTTGATCAGAATGTCACTACGTATCTTAATAAGTACACCCGATTCCTTATTTATTCATTAAAACTACTCGTAAAACATAAATCCGATAGGTTTGAGATGTAAGTTTCCCTAAACTGTGATGTTGTAAAGTGGAGTGTTATTTGTTTCGTTCAGTTTGGGCGACTAATATATATGTATAACCGATATGGCCGACTTTCACTAACTAACTTTATCAAACAAGAAATGGGTCTACAAGTTTCTCCCATGCCGTATATTTTAGTTCACAAAAAATAATTGAATACGGATTTATTTTATTTGTTTGATTCCCCCTTACCTCTTTTCTAGCTAGAGAATTTCGTCAATACTGTCCACACTTAAAATGCTACAACTTACACACATTATCTATATACAATTATCTATACAAGGTGTGTTCCAAAGTAAACAGGACTTTAAAAAAAAAAACAGAACAAATGGTTTTTTCGGCCAAATCAATTTATTTTATTCTGCTTCAATACAGCTTTTTGCACGAAATTCTCACTGGACAATCGATAAAGATAGCAGATTCTAACGCACCAGTCGACATATAGGTAGCGCCAGGGGTAGCTAGATTCAAAAAGTCCTGTTTACTTTGGAACGCACCTTGTAGTATTTGTTTCAAATTTCATCTAAATCGATCAAACTGCAGCATCAAGTTTGCTCCTCCCCTTCATATAACAGAGCAAAGGACGTTTTTTGTAGTACAGGGTATTTGAGAGTCTAGATTGTTCGACTGTACCGTTTCAATCGCTCAAAATGACATCCAATTTGAACAATCAGCTTAGAAGCAAGCCAATTCGAGTGTTTTTTTTTTTAATTTCTCTAGAATACAACTTGACATATGCTTTTTAATATAATTGGCAAAGGCTTTTACTTTTTCCGATATCAATAAAGCATAGATAAATATCTAAAATATTTACTTTAATTGTCTGCAATATATTTACTATACTGCTTAAATGAGTCTTTTGAGTCTTTGTTCGCGCTGCAAATGTTAACAACGCGATTTTTTCGAAACGATGCAAAATCGAGCAAAACAAATTTAGATTTACAAGAAGATCATTAATGAACATTATATTAGTAGCCACGACAATCCACCTAAAATTTATTCCACGAAGCAAAACTACTTTCAGGTTGAGATCGCATAAAACAGCAAATAACAAAAACACATAAAACAGAGGACAAATTACATATACGGAACACAATTATATTAAATATACTTTGTATATTATCTTTCATGTTATAGTCTAATTCTTTAAATCAAATATCCTTTTTTTTACATTTTTTCGGCACAAGCAACACCATATGTTCAGTAAAATAAACATCCGACTTTCAGGACTTTGCAAAACTTTCAGGACTGCTCTAAATAATTACAATTTTGGTTCCTTTGACCGTTGGATTATATTCTTGCAGAAAAAAAGGTCTTTTTAATGACTGTTTTTTTCTCGTATTTATTCCAAAAAGGGGGAAAACCATATTGCAGTCGAAAGAGTATTCTGTGACACATACTTATTAGCAATTAATAATTTGAATAATAGATATTTCTGCCTTTAATCTGATGCTTGCTGATCAAAAGATGAAAAACCCTACGAGTGTATGAGGTTAGCTTTTATATTGAAAATGCCAGCCACAAAGATATCAAGGGAAAGGGTTCTTTCATTACGAGCATTTATAACTAGTACGTCTTTATTGAAAAAAAAAAAAAAACAAATACTATAAAGCGTAGTAAATTAGTCGTAGTACTTACTCACCTGTACATGGTCCTGTAGTACGTGGGCTGATGAGGCAACGTCGAGCTGGCACATCGATGATTGCAGCGGAAGTCATCGTCGATGTCCAGCACATTGGCGAGCAGAGATTTGGAGGATCTTTGCGATGGTGGTGGTGGTGGTGGTGGTGGTGGTGGTGCGTAAAAGGAAATTAATTTTAGTAAAATGTATTTTGAAGAGAGAGGGAGAGAGATAATCTTAATTATATAACTACTATGTAGTAGGATGTACGAGTATGTCTATGGCTCAGCGCCTGTGAACGGCTTGTGTTACAGTTATTTGCTTTTGTTCTTTCTGTTACCTTTCCTTGAGCTCAACGTTTTGAATCTGTTGCTTTTTGTCGCCAGCATTTGATGATCCGCCCGACGACGAGGGCGGGGGCGGGCATTCGTAGCCAACCTGTCCCGGTCTTTGCATGCGCAATATGCAAGGTAACCAATAAAGGAATATTACTCTTATCTGTGTGTGCGAGTTCGACAGAGAGACGGAGTGTGTTGGGTAATGCGGTTGAAAATAATAGCAATAAGTATATAAGTTTTTTTTTTTTTAATTTTGTTTGTTTACATAGAATTTGGTTTTGGTTTTTTTTTATTTTCAATTTGCGCATTGTTTCATAAATTGTGGTTTTTGTTGTTATAGTTTGTAAAAACACATCAAAATTGTTGTTGGCAAGTGTAACAAAGACACGGATTATATATATATATATATATATTACATATATGAAAAATAGTTGTTTTTAGTTGTTGTTCAATTTTTGTTGTTGTTGCATATTTTAATTGATAAAAACAAAAGACGACACATTTAGAATAGGTTGTTTGATATTTTGGATTGAATTGGAATGTACATTTCGGTTTGATTGTTAGATTGTTTGTTGATGTTGTTGTTGTTTGTTATTGTTTTTGTAGTAGTTGTAGTTGTCAGCACATTGATTGTTGTGTGTGTTACAGTGAAACGGCAATAGGTACGCGCATTTTTAATTGCAACATTCAATTGCAGGCCACATCAAAAGTTGTACAGAGATAGTTACATACATAGTTAGTTAGTTAGTTAGTTGGTTAGTTAGTTAGTTAGATAGAGAGAAAAATAGTTAAGAAAAACAGAGTTGAATTGAGTTTTGAAGCGTTGTAGAGTTGCCAGTTAGCGTAGTTGTTGTTGTTGTTGTAGTAGTAGAAGTTGTTGTTGTTGTTGTTAGCCAGAGTTGTAGTAGTTGTTGTTGTTGATGTTGAAAAATAAAATTTTTGTGTGATTACTGTGATGTTTGGTATAAGGTATTTTTTCATCATTTATATAAAATGTTAGTTGGTAGAATATACACATAATATTAAATAAAAGGTATACAAAATGGTTCATACTTTGTAGATTGTATAGGTACAAGCAATAATATTTTGTTTGTTATAATTATATATTTATACGTTAATTATTTGCATAAGCGGCTTGTTCAAAATTTCAATGTATATGTTTTTTGGTACTGCAAGCATTATTTGGCATTAAAAAATTAAATTGAGTTTAATTAAAGCATTTTGTTAATTTATATTTCAAACATGTTTTGTTGCATAGCTCAACAGCGATGTGTGTCTCTTTCAACAAACTAAACAAATATATGGCAACTAATCTGGTTTCTATTCTGTCGATGTTCTCTACAGCCCCAATCAGTTCGAAAATGTTGTACAAATTAAATTCTATTTGCGCTGAGAAGGTACTAAAGAAGAGCAGCTCATTGATGTGTAAAAGAAAAAAGTAAATTAATTACTTTTGCAGAAATTATTAACAATACCTGCATTAATTTTGTTTATTTATTCATAATTATATTTGCATTTAGATTTTCAAATTTATATTTACACTTATATATTTATACAAATTTATGCCTACATTTATTTATATTTTATTTATATAATACAGAAACAAGTAACCAACCGCCAGTGATGCCTATTAACCACTATTTGAAGCAATTCTACTTTATCTGACAAGTGCGTGTAAATTGTACAGTTACGAATGCAATTCTACAAAAAGAACGATAATAAAATTGGAGCGATATATGGAAGCCAAGAATTTAAGGCCTGGCTAAGCAGATATGACTGGACATCCTGTTCAATGCCTTCTGCGGAATCTGCTGAGATGAAGAGGGGGAAGAAAGCGTAGAGCTCCTCCTCTGCCCTCCTAGGGAAACCATTCCACGACGACCTCTCTGAAGCAACTAGCTAGAGCTCGTGAACTACATATGTAATACAGTATAATTTGCTTACATAACATTTCTTAACATAACTTTATTTTTGAACTCAAATTTGTATCTCTTGCAATATAGTATATGAAGTTGTATTTTGTTCTTGGACATTATATGTACACATTTTTTAACATACATCAAATTAATTAAAATTAAAAGATTTGCAGCGATCAGTTGTTATTTTACCAATATGCTTCTATACTATAATTAAAATGCGTGAATAATGCTCTGGTCTAGAGGTTGCATTAGAGTAGTGGTATTTGGTGGAAAATGTAATATTTTTACAGCCTTCTACAAACTCAAACTCACGATCAAAATAATAAACGATTGTAAAAAATATGTACACATTGCCATTCTATACTGAATATATAGGGAATACCTAATTTGAAAAATGAGCTGACTTTCTTAATAATCATAGAAAATGGTTAAAAATTACAGCCGATATGAGGCGCTCAAGTCCAAAAATGCAGTTAACTTGGATGCATCAAACGAATTTGAAAATGCTGTCCGAAATATTTAAATATCATTTGTGTATGTATCTCGTAAAAGAGCCATTCAAATGATGATCTCTTAAAGTTAGACGAACTTATAAAGCAAATATATTAGACTTATTATTTAAATAATATAAAAAGTTGGAAAATGTCTTTTTGTTAGCATTTCTTGTACAAATAATTGGGCTTTTTTGTAAACTATTAAACCTCTTTTGGACTCTCTGTCCCGTTTATAGTTGGCTGAATAGTCCTGTCCTGAATAGTTGGAATCAAAAGTCTCTATAAAAAAACGTTGAAATTAGATTCCTTGCTTTAACACCATAACCTGATATTCCTTACTCCGGTTGATTTGAAATGTGATCTGCGGTCATCTGTTGGCAAATTTAATTTTTTTTTGCATCTAAGTGCATTTAAATGTGAAGTCTATAATTTGTGAGCTATCGAAAAAAAACATAAAAATATTTGTGCTGTGATAAAATCGATGTATAGTCGCGAAATATCGGCACACCATTGATTGCGCTTGACGATAAATCGATTGTGTCAAAGATCGATATTTTGTACTTTATAGCACTACTTACAACGACCTCTGATGAATGATTGCTATCTCCCTCCCTGGCACTAGCTCCTGTTTCCGTCTTGCCTTTGGCACCACTGGCCATCTTGCTTTCACTATATATGTATTTATATTTTAAGTTTAAACTTAAAAATTTAAAAATGAAGACATCACGTTTCCAGCTGTGCAACAAAACTGTTCAACAATTTGAGTTTTTAGTGGATATTTATCGAGTGTTGTTTCTCTCTGTGTGGGTTGTGAACGGATTGCGCATGCATAGATTTGGGTTTATGTTTATGTAAAAATGTATGTATGTATGTAGTATATATAGTATATATAGATTACAAAATGCGATTTCATTGAGAAGCATAAATATAGTTGTCAATAACTGGATTTGCGCTGGACTTGATTTGAGTTGTGTTTTGTGGTGTTCAACTATGTTACAATAGACTTTGCTCCTTCTGCAATTTTCTTCTTGATATTTTGTTTTGTTTTTGTTGTTTGTGGGAATATACTTGAATATATGTATGCAAAAGTATGTTTGGAAAGATGTACGTGTTTATGTATTTATAGGAATAATATGTGTTATGTGTGTAATTGGTTTTTGTGTCGTCTTGCTTAGGTATGTTTAGTTTGTATATAAATTTTGTTATATGAAGAATTGTCGTTTCGTTATCAGAAAGTAAACAAAATAAGTTATTTAGAAGAACTTTGAACACATAAGGAAAACGAAAAGATGACTTGAACGTAACAGAATAGTTAGAAATAAATAAGTAATAAAGTTAGCAAGTTTAATTTTAGTTTAGTTTGAATATAAATATTACCCATTCACTCATTTCATGCGTATCTGGATTTCTATGATGATAATTGAGGATAAGTATGGTTGACACAACTGATGAGGCCACCATAAACATAATGCAATTGAAATAAGTTCCTAGAAGGACACAAAAATGACACAAACATTGTGGTAATAGCATTTCGTTGTTGTTTTCGTTGGTTTTTTTTTCTAAACACATAACGTCTTTTCATATCATACTCGTATGAATAAAGTTGTTAAAATTTCTATTGTTGAACTTTGCCGTTAGCCGTTGAGCTACATATCAAGACCCTATATGAATAGAGTTCATATGCCTTGCTATATAAGATTGTTGTTGTTGTTTTTGTAGTGTTGTTTTGTATAAATATTTAATATCTATATATATATTTTTGAAGGAAATAAAATGGTTTATTGTTTCGTAGTATGTACAAATTAGCAGATTTGATAAAATTTGGAAAAGAAGAGACTTGTGTAGAAAGTTTGTAATAATAAGAAAAGAAGGAGATACATTTTGATTTTTGCTTGTTTTGTTTGGGTATTTATAGTATAAAGTATGTATATAATTCTGCTTGTTTACTTGTAGCAAGTAAGAGTTGAAAAGAAAAGCTCAAAGCTGTTTGGTTTATTATTTGTATTGTATATTTTTTATATTGAAGAGGAATCAAAAATATATTATAAAATGCATTTAATTATTTTTATTTGCTTTCTTGCTCGAAAAAAAGTTGATTTATTTTACAAGTGTATTCCCTTCCCGCCTCAGCACATTTATAGAAAGGTGAAAATATTTAAAAAAGTGTTAAAAAATGTTCGAGTAAATGCCCTGCCGTTGCCAAACCTAACAAATTTGTGGCTCAATTCAAGAATTCCTTTTGACTGAAACATTGAACTGAGCCGCGCATTTGCATTTATCATATTATTTTGCTTGGCTATTATTATTTATCGATAACTTATAGCTTAGCTTCTTGTTAGACAGTCTTTTATTGATTTTATTTTTTTAAAATATGTTTATACTTATTTTTTTTTTTTTTAGGTTTTTCGGTTTGTTTTTGTGCACAACCAATTATCCGCAATCATCATTTTTTGTTAAAAATCGAGATCTAATTTGCTTTCATTATTTTTGTTATTATTGTTGTTGCTGTTGTTGCTGTTGTTGTTTGTTTGGGCTGTAAACTGATGAAAGAGTTGATTTGAAATGCAGTGGGAAGGGGAGTGGGCAGGATCTACGGTTTGTAGTTATTGTTCTGATGAAGATTTTGTTATAAGATGTTTAGCGTGACTCATTAATATTTTTTAAGTTTTAGTTGAAATTTTAGTGGAGCACAGTGGTGGGATGTTTACATGTTTCTTCTTTAAGTATGTATAATGTTTCTCAAAGGATATATATATATATATATATATATATATATATATATATATATATATATATATATATATATATATATATATATATATATATATATATATATATATATATATATATATATATATATATATATATTAGAAATGATGTATGCAACAGATCCTATATCACCACTGTGCCTGCTCGTTATCTTTATCGTTAGTTACCATATATATTTACAGGTGTTATTTATTTATAAGCGGGTATGTGTTATTACTATTATTACAAGAATATAAGTAGTATGTCCTTTCAGCTTACACACTTACTATTGTCATTATCACTATACCACTATACAGAAAGGGGCGCTCTAAGCTTACAGTTATACAGATATACCTTAACCAGGGCAAAACGGTAAAACAGTAAACATACACATACATATACATACATATGCAGCTGTTAAATGCCATAGAAAAATAGGTGTGTTTATTTACATGTGTGTTTGTGTTGTTGGCTAATCTGCTGTTTTTTTTGGTTTTTTTTAATACAAAGTGTGAACAACTACAAATGAAATCAATTGAAATTATATACAAAGTGAAATTAAATTGAGTTTAATTGAGCGAACGAACACACCCATTGGTTCATAGAGACAAGCAATCATCATTTCACAAAACCAAAATATATGTACATGTACATACATATGTATACGTGATAGTACTACCAGCAATACAGCACCAATAACAAAAAAGAAGAAGGAGAAGGATACGAAAATCTTGCAAAATACATATGTATGTATGTATGTATGTATGTAAGTATGTCTCTTTGATGCCAAAAATGCTGACAGATAAATAATCATGAACTGAATGAAAATATCAAATCAAAATGAGAGAAGCAAAATACTTGTATATACTATATGTATAGTAGAAGTATGTGTTTGTGGATTTGTGCGTGCGTCTGCGTGTGTGTTTGTGTTTGTGTGTGTTCTGCGTGTGTAGAAAGCTTTGTCACATTCCTTCTGTTGTTGTTGTTGTTGTTGTGGTTATTGTTGTTGCTTGCTTTAACACATCTGACTTGATTTAATCGGGCGAAATATTTAACAAATGACATCTGCATATACATACATACACATACTACGAGTACATAGGCAATGCATTATGCTGTTGTTGTTGTTGTTCTTGCTGTTGCTGCTGTTGATGCTTTGTTTTTGTTTCATACAGAAGTGTCGATCAAGTGTTTGTCTGTTTGTGTGTGTGTGTGTGTATGTATGTGTGTGTGTGTGTGTGTGTGTGTGTATGCCACAAAGTTGTATATTTTTGTTTATCTTACAGTAAAGTTGGCTTGTTGGCTTGTAGGTCTCTTTATTTCTTCTTTGCTTTGTTGTTTATATAAATTTAAGCTGAGGTTGCTTGTTTGCTTGTCTTGGCACACTGTCTTGACTATGACTTCTTACTTTTTGGCTCTAGTAGCACTTTCAATCAAAGCTAAAAAGTATGTACGGGTATGTAAGTATATCAGCATCTCCACTTCAATAAGAGCCTTACAGGCAGATTGAGTTCGAAGGGACTTCAATATTGGTTGCATGCACCTATGTATATGTATCGGGACAGTGGCTCAGTATGTTTCACAAGTGATACATTGTATACGTATTTAAATAAAAATAAACTATTCAGCAAGGGATTGTTTTAGTGCCTCAAACTTTTCCAGAAAGAAACCAGATATGCGCTTCTCCTTTTTATGGGCAAGTTCCTTGTCAGTTCTTATTGCTGCATCTAGATGTGAAACATGTCATGACACGATTTTAGTCCACTCTTAACCAGAAAACTCGTTTTCGAAACTATTTATGTGTTCGAGTAGTTCATTTTTTAAGTAGGTTGTATTATACTTACAAATATATTGTGCTACTTGGCAATACCAATTGGAAGTGTTTGGAATTTCCGATTTATAATTGAAAAGTTTGATATTTTCTAGAACAAATATACGCAGAATATGACTTGAAAAATGAATCTCGAACGGAATAAAAACGGTCCGGCGAGGTTTACCAAGACAAGAGTGTGTCGGTTAACTTTACAACTGTTAGCCTCTGCCTTGAATTGAGGTATAGCTAAGGAACAAAATGTATTTCTTCCAAAATTGGCTTATTTCAGACACATATAATTCTTCACATTTCCGTTTATTTGAATGTAAATAGATGCGTTTTAAAGCGCAACATTCCTAAAAACTTGCAGGCATACCAAACATCAAATAGTTTATTTACTCTGCAACCTCTAAGTCCTCTATTCGTTAATAAAATCCTCAGTGCTTAACGAACTCTTTAGCGGTAGTCAAAAGAATTTACACAACAAACCTTTTTTGTTCATATGTGCCATATGGAGCTTTTTCTTGTTGCAAGGAAGTTGCAAAAAAGTGTTGCGATCGCATAATGGAAATAGAAAAAGATAATGGTTCATACGACAAAAATACTTAGAAGCAAATGAACTGATGCTTACAAGGGCGTAAAGAGGGGGGGGGGGGGGGGGGGGCGTTTCTACAAACCGTACAAAGTCTACCACACGTTCATTATTATAACGCAGTATTTCGCCTTAGAATGGAACTGAGTTGGATTTGAGAAGTTTTTTCAATTTTTTTTCCCCTATTTCCAATACAATATTTATCGATAGTCCTTTGGAATGTTAGAAAGGCTCAAACACTTTCAATGATATTAATGTTGGGGCTCTGGGAAGGCCAGGAAAGAACAAGCTGATTTAAATCCTTTAGAAATTTTGCAGGTACCTTTTAAAAGTTCAATATCACCGGAATAATTTGAACCCAAAGCCCTAAATTCATCCCGAAATATCTCCAGTTCATTTGCTTCTATTTTCGTTTTATTAATCGTAATTTTTTTCAATTCTTCTTTGAATTCTCTCCAACAAAGAGAGAATATAATGCTCAGAAGTGTTCGTCTAGTAAATACTTTTGACTACCTCTGTATATCCATATTCGTTGTACTCCTACCAAAAATGCTTTAAACCAACAAACTCGTCTCATCTCAACTGGGCCGGAGAAAAAATGTAACATACACACAGTTCAGAAGAATGTACTTGTATGTGTGTATCATTGTGAGTGGCTGTGTATTTGTTGGTGAGTAAAGGCAGTCTATTGTGTATAAGAAATACGACAGATAAAGCGAGAGAGAGAGAGAGAGAGAGAGCGAGCGAATTTTAAGTTTGAGAGCGAAAAGTATTTTCATACATTCTATTTACATGATAGTTACAATGTACTATACTCTTCTATGTGTTGTTGAAAATCAATACAAACATAAGTACCAATGCACGCATGTTAATATAAGCAGATAATAATCTTATGTTATCTACAAGTTATCTGTCACTGTTGCATACGAATGTAAGCATAAAGAATATGTATAGCAAAAGTGTCAGTCTCCAATAAAACTCTAAAGCGAACAGACGCACGGCGGTCCGCGACTATTGTCTTTTACTTTACTCCTACTGAGCCCTTCCCTTTTCAGCGAATATATAATCTATTCAATAGGTTATGGGCCCAGGGCATATAGGCTCATAGGAGAAGTTCAAAGTATTGTGAAATAGTAATCGTTTGGTGACTCAAGAAATATAACATTTAAAAAATGAGTGCGCTATATCAAATAGACAAATTGGAAGAGCATAACTATGACTCATGGAGCATACAGATGCGATCTGTCTTAGTGCACGCGGAATTGTGGAGTGTGGCATCAGGTGCTGAACCTAGTAATACTGAGAGTTCAAGGCCAAAAGATGAAAAGGCATTA